CGGGTAGAAAGACCTTTCTGAGAGTTAAGAGTTTGATCTGATAAATGAATTAGTTTGATAAATCTTTCTAGATACTCTTTTTGGGTATCCTCCAGGAAGTTGGTAGGGAGAGGCATTGGTAGTTCAATGGTAGAATTTTCGCCTCCCATGCGGGAGACCCGGGTTCCATTTCTGGCCAATGCAGTCAGGTTGTCTTTTTTACTTCCCTGCAAAATTATACTCCATAACCAAATAGTGCATTTAGGGGCTTGGCCACCACAAAGTAAACTGCCAACACTGGTCAAAGTAGCGGCAAAAGACATTCAGGAGACTAACCCAGGACCTGTGCAGTTGTTGGACTCAACAAACGGCTTAGCAAAGTGGCAAGCACGAAGTGTTTCTGGTGAGTCACTGCAGTTTTGATATTGGTACCTGTTACTTTCATCTATTCTCTGGACGGATCCCTGCAAACCCAAAGAACCATCAGGTTCCTGATTCGCGTGCTGGACCTTGGGCTTACCGCTGAGCCACTACGGAGAGGATCAAGAAATGAAACTCCAGGAAGGAGAGAAGCTGCGGGCGGGGCAGTCACCTCAGAGGTCCAAGAGGCATCAGCGGCCCAAAGAAAGGGGAGGTGTGTGGGGAAGAATCTGCGTGGAGATGAGAGGAGCGGCGGAGACTAGTCCTTGAGCAGAGGTGGCCAGTGGACCCTCGGGGCTGTACCCCAGACACCGTGGACCGAATTTGCTAACATCGTCAGCCACCGCGGCCTCCGCGAGTTTTGTGGGCCCATCGGTGTTCCGCGAGGGATTCCGTGTGTCTGGCAATGTGTGTCAACAGGTGTTGGCCTGAAATTTGGCCGCGCACGGTGGCTCACGCCTGTAATCCCAGCACTTTGTGAGGCCGAGGCGGGTGGATCGCTTGAGGTCAAGAGTTCAAGACCATCCTGGCTAACATAGTGAAATCCCATCTCTACTAAAAATACAAAAATTAGCCGAATGTGGTGGCATGCACCTGCTATTCCAGCTACTTGGGAGGTTGAGGCAGGAGAATCGCTTGAACCCGGGAGGCGGAGGTTGCGGTGAGCCAAGATCGCGCTGCTGTGCTCCAGCCTGGAGGACACATCGACACCGGGAAAAAAAAAAAAAAAAAAAAAGGAGTGAAAGAAGGCAGAGGTGTAGATGGGACAGCAAGACCTCCCAGGAGGCTTGTTGTAGAGGCAGTGGCCGGATCCTGAGAGATGAGACTTTTTAAAATTATGTAGCAGAGTGGGGAGAGAGTAACGGAGAAGCAGGTGAAAGAGAGAAAAGCACGAAAATGTGCAGACGTCCAAGAATAAAGCATAGAAAATAGTATGAGTGTTTTTACATTAAAAAAAATATATATATATATATATAAGAAGTAAAATGGTTGTCAGCAGGCTTTGTGGTCGTGTAGTGGTTAATATTCTAGTTGTGGTTGCTGCAACCTGGGTTCTAATCTGAGTCACAGCAGTGTTTTGTATCCTGCGATTGTGGCTAATAGACCTGTCATTTGCTTCGCCTTTAATCCTAGCAGCCTCCAGAGAGCAGAGTAAACCGCTGGCCCAGAAGGGCTCCAGCTTCTGGAGTTTAGCCCACAGTGCATAATCTAGGGGGCGGCCTGGCCAAAAGGAAAACTTGGACATGCTCTTAGTTTCACAACTGAGCAGAAAAAAATCCCATAGGTGAAGATGCTGCCTCTCAAGGACCCTTTGTCTGTAGCTTCCGCTGATGAAATAATGCGGTTATAGTCTTTCTGGAAGAGAAAACAGCTGTATCAGTGGGATTTTTAAAAAACACAAAATGAGAACGAGCTTTTAGTGAGTTTACAATAAAATCTAAACCAGTTGTCATGGTCGACACCGGCTTGCCTCCATTCCCCATCTGCTGATTTTTATGAGAGCATAAAAATTCTCATAAAATGAGATTGTGCAGGGCATAATGGCTTTAGTGCACCTCTGCTGTTAAGACTATTATTACTATTATTAGTACTTTTGAGATGTAGTCTTGTTCTGTCACCCAGGCTGGAATGTCGTGGCTCAATCTCGGCTCACTGCAACCTCCATCTCCCGGGTTCAAGGAATAAGAACAGTAAATAAACTACAGTTCACATAAAGTGCACAAATCTTTAGTGCAATTTAATTTTGATAAATGTAATCACCACCCAGCTCAAGTTATAGAAAATTGCCATCATCTGAGAAAGGCCTGTTAGAGCCCCTTTCCAGGCAGTTCCCACCCTGTGTCCTCTTAGCTAATCACCATTCTGATGTCTATTCCCATAGGTTACAATTGCCTGTTCTTAAAGTTCTCATGAGTGAATGGACATATCTTTTGTGTCTGGCCTTTTTTCTGCAGTTATGTTCATTATACTCATGAGATACATCCACGTAGTTCATGGATCACTTCTCAATTGTGGTGTTACTGAATTCTTGTGATGAATATTCTTGTAACAGTCTTTTTGTGCACTTGAGATTCATGGAAGTACTTCAATTGCTGGGTCATGACCTGAGTATAAGTTTGACATTGGTATAAATTGCCAGTCTTCTAGAATGTTTTTTCACCAGCAATGACAGTTGAAGTGGCACCAAATTCTTGTTGGCATTTGGTGTACTAACTTTTTAAAATGTAGCTATGCTCTCAGACCAAACTGGCCAACATGGCAAAACCCCGTTTCTACTAAAAATACAAAAATTAGCCGGGCATGGTGGCATGCACCTGTAGTCCCAGCTACTCAGGAGGGGGAGGTTTCAGAGAGCCAAGATCGCACCGTTGCACTCCAGCTTGGGTGACAGAGTGAGACCCTGTCTCAGAAAATTAAAAAAGTAACCATACACTGATGAGTGGTTAATGATGTCTCCATGTGGAATTAATTTGTACTTGCCTAATGAGCAATACTATGAAGCATATTTTCTTATGGCTTCCAACATATAAGAAATTATCCTTTTCAAAGGCCTATTTGGATATTTTGCCCGATTTTATTTGGCTTAGCTCTGTATTACTGATTTATGAAAGTTCTCTTATATATTCAGGAATTGAGTCATTTTTCAAATAAATATATTGCAAATGACTTTTCCCAGTCAGTGACTGGACTGACAACTGAAAGCTGTCAAGTGAAAAATCACACAATTTATAAATTTAGAAAGAAAGGAGATTTTATTTTTTATAAAGGGTTACAGCCTGCAAGGCGGCCATTCTGACAGACTGGGAGCATACCCACCTGCTGAAACCTGAAAAGTAGGTTTCCAGGGAGGGGAGGGGAGAATAGGGATTTATGTTGATCTGGTTGGCCACATATACATATTCAACAGGGAATAGGAGGAGCTCTGAATATTTGTGAAGGGATCCTGCTGCATGCATGCTGAGTAAACATGCCTGTTACATGCAACCGATGTTCACTTTGGGGTAGAGACAACATTTCAATACATTATAATAATTAGGCCTTATGCTTCAATAGGTGAAGCAGGGACACAATGGCAATCAGGTGCACAGCCTCTGTAAACTGTCCAGAACCAGTTCACAATCAGTGGTCTCTTATCAAGAGAAAGTTACTGAAATCAGTCTCTTGTCCAATCAAAATTGTCGTTATGGCTTGTGTAGGGAGGGCTCAGCCAGTTTATGGTAATGGGTCAGCTGCAAGTGCTTCAGCATTGCTTATCTCAAGGCCAGTGCTTGTTTAGCTAGAGAAAAAAGGAAGAAGAAAAAAACCTGTGGCAATTAGAACATAGTTTATTCTTTAAGTTGAGGGGTGCACAACTTAACTTTGCCTCGCATGGTCTTAGGTCTTGTTTATAATATAGTATCTTACTATGGTAAGGAGTCTGTTCTGTCAGTCTTATGATCTTTATTTTAACATTAATGCTGGTCAGTTGTGTCTAACCCACAAAAGGGAAAGAGTATAAGGACAGGTGTCTGATCTTCCAAATACTGGCCAGGAACTCAGTATTTAAGACTTCTCTGGGGTCTCCTTGACCAAGAAGGGGTCTGTCCAGTTGGTTGGTGGCTTCGGATTTTAATTTCAGTTCTCAAAATATTTAATTTGATGAAATTTTGCCATATTTTTTCTTTATTTTTAAAGCCTGTTCTATTCTATAAGAAATCTTTCTACTCAGGATTTAATGTATTCTCATCTTTCTATGAGTTCCAGAGTTTTAGTTTTAATTTTTAAATCCATGACATCTAAAATTCTACTCCTAACCAAAACATTCTTGGGAGTTACCAAGGACAACTCCAAAAATCTTCCATAAATGGTCCTGAAAGAACTTACTGGAATCCTGGGCTGCAGGGCACAATGGCTTTAGTGCACCTCTGCTGTTAAGACTATTCAGAAATTGCCTTTGTGAACCCATCAGGCTGTTTAAAAATCAGCAATTTAGGGCTTGCATGCAACATGCAGTTATGCAGCAGCTGTAGTGGCCCATAAAGCTTCTCTTCAACTGAAAGAGGCCTGAAACTGCAGGAGGGGCGAGAGGAGCCTCGTTGAGCGAACGCAGCCCTTTGCCTGGCTGGCCCTGGTCAACAGGCTCGGAAGTGGCGGATTTGGAGGACAGAACGGAAGAAAAGACCTAAAGGTTTAGAATCTCATGATGTCAAGATGTTAAAGCCTAAATCCTAAGGTCCGACTGTGAGGGGGAGCGAGCGTGTCTCGAGCTGGATCGATCCTTGAGCCTTCACCTGGAGAGTCCTCTACACAAGTTCAGAGAGCAAGACAGCTGCGCACCAGTGGTTCTCAACAGGGGGCAGCTTCGCCCTCACACACCTCTCCCATCCCCGCTGAGATGCTAGGCCACGACTAGGGGGGAAGCGGGAGGGAGAATGTTAACCCCCGGCATGTATCTAGTCAGCGGAGGCGACGGATGTTGCTAAACACCTTACAATCCACCGCGGGAGGGCCCCTCCCCCACCCCATCGCCACCCCGAAGTAGCCATTCCGCGGAGGTGGAGAAACTTGCGTGTAGATCAATGCCCACACACTTGGCCGATGGTAAATCACGAGTTGGTGACCAATTGGATCTTGGATCTGAGGAAAAAACTCCAGCGTCAGAGGGAACTCTCCAAGTTTTGCCCGGAGCAAACGGAAGGGTGGCGTTGCCATCTCCTAAGACGGGAAAATGGCAGGTGTCACAGGTTGCAGGGGAAGGTGGGAGACCAGTTGAGGGCCCCGGAGCCTTCCTGGGAAGAGTTTCCCATGCAGCCCGTTTAGGTTTCCGCATCCGAGTCCTTTATGATCTTGGGGGTGCCGGGGTCTGGGTCTTTATGATGCAGAGGGTATCCCCGTCTCACCCCGGGCCCCTCCCCGCTCCCGGCTCCTCCTGGCAACCCGGTGCGCGGCTCCGGCCCTGGAGACCCGCGACGGTCTCTCCACTTGCTGCTTCCTCGCAAAGGCGCATCTCTATGCCAGTGGTGAGCTGCGGCGGGGTCGCTGCAACTCGCTCCAGGACTCGGGACTCTGGCCTTGGTGTCCCTCGCGGAGCCCTCGGTGTGTCGCCTGCAGGCTCTGTTTTTTAAAGAAAGCAGGGAAGCAACGGCCATGTGAGACGACTCCAGGAGCAAAGAGCGACCCTCACAAAGCCCAAGTCCTGCCAGAGTACAGGGAAACTGTCGCTTCAGACCGAAGAAAGGAGAGAAAGCACCTTTCCGTATCTCCCTGGTGGTCTAGTGGCTAGGATTCGGCGCTTTCACCGCTGCGGCCCGGGTTCGATTCCCGGTCAGGGAATTGTTTTGCACTGGCCGCCTTCCCGCGGGAATCTTCCTTTATTACACTGTCAGTCGGCCTGCTCCAAGGGCCAGATGCAGAACAGCCTCCGCAGCAAGGGGCACACCCGGGCGAAGTAGGGCAAGTCGTGGTGGACCACCTGTCACGACACACTGCTCCTATTTATGTCCGTGTCCGTCATCCGCAGACGCGGCTTTAGAGAGCGACTGAGCTTCTCACTCAGGTGTACACAACAGTGCAGAGATGCCAGCCACCCAATAAGCCCATCCTCTTTGCCGCCGCCGCCACGAGGCGCCTATCTGGCCAGGATGCGAATTAAGAGAGAGGCCACGCCAAGTCGTGACGTTTGTGCGTGCCCTGGACACGAGTACCGGCCAGTCAGCGGAGCCTCCTCACCCCCGTTCGCAGCTAACGTTCGCAGCTTAGGCCTTTGGACGAGGCGACTGGAGGCGATGCCCGCGAGGTTGCGAGGAGGGTGAGCAGCTGGTGAGGTCCTCGTCGGCGGTCCCATTTGCTGATTGAGCGGTAGAGGGAGGCGATGTTCGCTGACCCGACAACGACAGCAGGTGGAGTAGGCACAAATGGAAAACTGTTGCCGGTGCCCCAACAGAAGGCAGGTGTGAAAACCAGCACTAGGACGTCGAAGTGATGGTCTCACAGTTAAATCCCACAAAGTCTACACTCCACCAACCACTTGCGCACGCTCCCCATTTTCCATTCAGTACTCCCAAGAGGGGTTCGGACGAACGCCGCGTCCACTGTGAGCTCAGGGGTGAGCGGGAGCCAGGGAGGTGAAGTGCACAGACTGGGGCAGAGGCGGCGGGCAGAACCGCGGGGGTGAGAGTGCGCGGTGGCTGCGGGGCGGGAGCCGCTGCTGAAAGGCGGCCTGGGTTGTGGTGTGGGGTGACTGTCGGTGGAATCTTTGGCGGAGAGTGGTTTGGAAGAATGGCGAGGGGCGGCAGTGGGTAGGGTGGTGACCCTGAGCGTCCGGCCAGGGTGAGGAGGCTGTGCTGTCCCTGCAGGGCCTGCGCTCATTCCCACTTACCTGGCAGAGTAGAGACCGTCGTCACGAAGGGAGTTCTCCCAGAGTGAAGCTTCTTCATCGCACTCTAGAGTTGCTGATTCCTGTAATTTCCTCAATGTGAGAAACGGTGTTTGTGCTAGAAGAGGGCTGCCCTCTTTACCTAACGTAACGGGGTTCAAGACTGACATCGCCTCACGCCCACCCGAAAATGTTTACGTGGCTTCCTTGTTTCTTTTTTTCTGTCCTAAAGTCGCCCCATCCTCACACCCCCTCATTTTTTTCTTCCACACTCGAGAGTATCTCTCCCTCTAATTAAAAGTTCCACCAAATATTTGAAATATCTCAACCAGAAAGACTGCAATAAATACATTATTTCATTCGTGGAAGCTACAGACCAGCTAGGTTGGGAGTTGCTTGATATTTTCTGCTAAACGGTGAGGCATAGAGCACTTCGACGGTTTCTCTTTGGGTCTTTGTTTACGTACTATTGGATTTCCTTCTTTTTCCCTGACCATATGGCACTGTGGGGCCAGCGGTAAACCCTGCTTTCTGGCTTTCTGGCTGCAGATAAAGGCGGCAGCTGGTGCAGGAATTAAAGCAAACCAAAAGACACACGGGTTCGCCCCAGTGGGTCCAAGATAGAGTCTGACTGTACCAGGATTCGGATTAGAACAGAGGTTGCTGCAGGCACAACGCAGAGTACTAACCACTATAGGATCCCAAAGCACCCCACACCTACTGCCTGTCGTTTTGCTTCGCCACCCCTCTTTTATTTATTTATATATGTTTTTTGAGAGACAGAATTTCACTCTGTCGCCCAGGCTAGAGTGCAGGGGCGCGATCTCAGCTCACTGCTAGCTCCGCCTCTCAGGTTCAAGCGATTCTCCTGCCTCAGCCTCCCAAGTAGCTGGGACTACAAGCGTGCGCCACTAGGGCCAGATAATTTTTGTATTTTTAGTAGAGAGGGGCTTCCACCATGTTGGCCCATCTTGTCTGGAACTCCTAACTTCAAGTGAGTGATCCACCCACCTCGGCCTCCCAAACGGCTGGGATTACAGGCATGAGCCACCGCGCCCGGTCCCCTGATTTTTTTTTTAATGTAAAAACATTTATGCGATTTTTACCTCTTTATTCTTGGGCAGCTACAGGTTCTTGTGATTTTCTCTCACGTCTTCTCCTCTCCATTCTGATACATGTCCCATCTTCTCTTCATCCAGCGGGTGCCCTCTGCACGGGCATCCTGGGCTGTCCCATTGACTCGTCCTGGTCTCCCCTGCTTCTCCCTCCTCCTTTTCACCTTTTCCCTTTTGACTCCCTTGCCTCTTTCCCCCTCCCGCCCCACCGACCCGATCTACTGAAGCCGAGTTGAGTGAGGGGAGAGCAAGGGGAGAAGATGATTGCCTGAAGGCGGCGCAAGAAAACAGAACCGTCGGGGCGTTTGACTTCCCTTAGGCCCTACTAGGCTCAGGCTGGGGTCGCAGATCCAGGCATTTCCAGAGGCACTGGCTTCTGAAGCAGGCGAGGGTCAAAGCAGGTTGAAGGCCATTCGGCTGCCCTTCTGGCTTCAGAGTCATGCAATATACACATTTCTAACGCGCAACAACACGATTAGTCAACCCACCCTCTCCGGTTTTCCAAAGCTTTGTAGTCTGCACACTTGTCCTGCAGAAAGTGAATGGCAATCCCTAGAGTTAGTGATGGCTCAATCTACGCTGAGATGAAAGTGAACGCTTAATCTGTTTCGTTGAACGTAAAGAACTGAGGTTGTCTCTGTGGCGCAATCGGTTAGCCTTTTCGGCTATTAACTGGAACGCTGGTGGTTCGAGTCCATCCAGGGACGTCCTTTTAAATGTTGGTATTTGTGGCCAGGCACAGTGGCTAACGCCTATTAATCCCAACGCTTTGATAGGCCGACGTAAGGAAACCTCACTTGAGCTCAGAAATTCAACAGCACATGAACTTCTGTGAGAATCCCATCTCATTAAAAAAAAAAAAAATTACAGTTGTTTCTCCTCAGGCCTATCACTGTATTTAAAAGTGAGAGACTGTTCCCTTGTGTCTTGTGCATCCCATGAGAACACAAAGCAAAAGGTGCCTCTCCAAGCCTCCTAAAAAATAAGATCCCTCCAGAAAAAAACTAGGTTGTATGTATGGGAACCTGAAAGTGTATGAAGAAAGAAACTTCAAAAATTCTGCCTTGCTTTCCACATTCTGCCTTCAAGTGGTATCATACCTCTTCACATTACTCCTCTCCCTGCCTTTATGCTATTGTCATGCATTTTACTTTACACATGTTATAAACCTTACAGTCCATCTTTATTACTTTCGTTTAAACAGTCAGATGTGTTTTTGTTTGGTTTTGGGTTTTTTATTGTTGTTGTTGTTATTTTTAAGATGAGTCTCGCTCTATCAGCCAGGCTGGAGTGCAGTGGCACAATCTTGACTCACTGCAACCTCTGCTTCATGGGTTCAAGCGATTCTCCTGCCTCAGCCTCCTGAGTAGCAGGGATAACAGGCATAGGCCACCACACCAGACTAATATTTGTATTTTTAGTAGGGTGGGGGGTTCACTATATTGGCCAGGCTGGTCTTGAACTCCTGACTTCAAATGATCTGCCTGCCTCAGCCTCCCAAAGTGCTGGAATTATAGGCGTGAGCCGCCACACCCGGCTAGTCAGATGTTAAAATTATATATTTGCCTATGTAGATGTCGTTTCTAGTGTCTTTTTTTTTTTCATCCAGATTTTCAGCCGGTGTCAGTTTCCTTCTGCCTGGAGGACTCCTTTAACTTTTTTTTTTTTTTTTTTTTTGATATGGAGTCTCGCTTTTGTTGCCCAGGCTGGAGTGCAATGGCACAATCTCAGCTCACTGCAACATCTGCCACCCAGGTTCAAGAAATTCTCCTGCCTCAGCCTCCCGTATAGCTGGGATTACAGGATTGCACCACCATCCCCGGCTAATTTTTGTATTTTTACTGGAGACGGGATTTCACCATGTTGACCAGGTTGGTCTCAAACTCCTGACCTCAGGTGATCTGCCTGCCTCGGCCTCCCAAAGTGCTGGGATTACAGGCATAAACCACTGCGCCTGGCTGTCCTCTTTCTTAATTCTAACATCATGTTAGGTCTGGTTCAATTCTGATTAACTGATTATTTCCCTTCTTTATGGGTCGTTTCCTGGCTCTTTGCATACGTGATATTCTTTAATTGGATGCTGGACATTGTGAAGTTTACCTTCTTGCATACTAGCTATTTTTAAATTCCTTTTTTTTTT